TGATGTACTCCACGAGATAAATACAGTATCTGATGTACTCCACGAGATAAATACAGTATCTGATGTACATCACGATATAAATACATTGTATGATGTAAACCACGAGATAAATTTATACATTGTCTAATGTACACCACGAGATAAATACAGTGTCTGATGTACTCCATTAGGTAAATACATTTTCTGATGTAATCCATGGAATTAATACATTGTCTAATGTACACCACGAGATAAATACAGTGTCTGATGTACTCCATTAGGTAAATACATTTTCTGATGTAATCCATGGAATTAATACATTGTCTAATGTACACCACGAGATAAATACAGTGTCTGATGTACTCCATTAGGTAAATACATTTTCTGATGTAATCCATGGAATTAATACATTGTCTAATGTAGATCACGACATAAATACATTGTCTGATGTACACCATGGAATGAATACATTGTCTGATGTACACCAAGTGATAAATACATTGTCTGATGTACACCACGAGATAAAACATTGTCTGATATACACCACGAGATAAAACATTGTTTGATGTACACCACGAGATAAATACATCTTCTGATATACACCACGAGATAAATACATTTTATGATGTACTCCACGAAATAAATACATTTTCTGTTATACACCACGCTTTATACATTGTCTGATATACACCTCGACATAAATTCATTGTTTGATATACACCCCGAGATAAATGCATTGTCTGATATACACCTCGAGATAAATACATTGTATGATAAACACCACGACATATACATTGTCTGATATACACCACGACATAAATACATTGTTTGATATACACCTCGACATAAATACATTGTCTGATATACACCTCGACATAAATTCATTGTTTGATATACACTCCGAGATAAATGCATTGTCTGATATACACCTCGAGATAAATACTTTGTATGATAAACACCACGACATATACATTGTCTGATATACACCACGACATAAATACATTGTCTGATATACACCACGACATAAATACATTGTCTGATATACACCCCGAGATAAATGCATTGTCTGATATACACCACGACATAAATACATTGTCTGATATACACCTCGACATAAATACATTGTTTGATATACACCCTGAGATAAATGCATTGTCTGATGTACACCACGAGATAAATACATGGTCCTATTACAGACATCGATATTTAAACTCTCTTATAAAATGATTGTCTAATTAAGTCAAATCCTCTAAGTACGACGTTTTCTTTCTTTAGGTAAGACGCCTCCTCATTTGTCTAGGATCTACTTGTGAATCTCAGATATAATTTGGGCTAATGATGTAGGACATCGTTTAGTAAGACTTTCACGTATCAGTTTGGAAATCACGCAAGAAATAGTAACTGTATTATTGGTATTGTTTAATGTATGCTATGGTGTGGAGATAGGCGAGACGGCTCCAGCAAATTGAAACTCCGACTGATTTTGAACTGATGTTGACCTGGGGTCGGTATGTAACGAGCAGGAGGTTGGTAATGTTGTAGTGTTGATAATTTGGTGTTCGTGTGTCGTCATATATCAATTCGATATTGTGTGGCCCCTTCACATGTGGACACTGTCCTTGTAAAATGCTAGCTTTTGCGAATACTAAAATAACCTACACAAAGCAGGTAACCCTAACCCTAACACTAACCCTAAAATAACCTACACAAAGCAGGTAACCCTAACCCTAACCCTAAAATAACCTACACAAAGCAGGTAACCCTAACCCTAACCCTAACCCTAAAATAACCTACCCAAAGCAGCAAAGAAACAAAAAAATAGTTCAGACAATATATATTTGAATAAATAAATTGGTGAAATTTGGGCGGAAAGTAATAATGTTTGAAAAAAGAGCTTTTAGTGAAATTTGACTGAAATAAATGATAACAGTTTTACCAATTTTCCAGTGATCGATTACAAAAACGATTAGAAAATGGAATCATTTTGGACGATGTAATCACGGCTTTGATTCTTAATGACAAATGGATAACATTTTACGAGAAATCGTTTTCTTCTATTCGAGCAAGTTACGTTTAATTCCTTTCATGTTTTATCTCTACCGGCGCAGTAGCCACGGAAACCACAAACCTGATGTAGTCATAACCAATACACAGAAATGAAATTGGAAACGATTTTATCTGAAAGCCCGATGAAAAGAATTCACGGGCTTTAACTGAAAAATGCGATATGACCGTTTCGAAACCTGTAGTGTCTTAGAAGACGGGCTGCATGGTGAGTATCCCCATGCTTGTCACTGGATCCGGTCTCTACAGCTCAAGTGTAGTGATAACTAATCCAACAATGGTCGATAAACGGTTCAATTTCACATCAATAAATAGGAACTGATAATGTTTTGGAGTTACAGAATTGTCTCCATAGTTACGGCTACTGGGAAGATTTAAGGAATTACGCCAGTGGTTCTCAAGTTACATGTCAGGAATTAAAACCCGTGTCTCTGTAGTTACGGCTACTGGGTATATGTCAGGAATTTCAACCCGTGTCTCTGTAGTTACGGCTACTAGGTATATGTCAGGAATTACACCATTGGCTCTGTAGTTACGGCTACTGGGTATATGTCAGGAATTACAACCCGTGTCTCTGTAGTTACGGCTATTGGGTATATGTCAGAAATTACAACCCGTGTCTCTGTAGTTAAGGCTACTGGGTATATGTCAGCAATTACAACCCTTGTCTCTGTAGTTACGGCTACTGGGTATATGTCAGGAATTACAACCCTTGGCTCTATAGTTACGGCTACTGGGTATATGTCAGGAATTACAACCCGTGTCTCTGTAGTTACGGCTGTTGGGTATATGTCAGGAATTACATCCCGTGGCTCTGTAGTTACGGCTTCTGGGGATATGTCAGGAATTACAACCCGTGTCTCTGTAGTTACGGCTACTGGGTATATGTTAGGAATTACACTCTTGGCTCTCCAGTTACGGGTACGTGGTATGTTTCAGGAATTACGCCCGTGACTGTCTAGCTACGGCTTCTGGGTAGATTATAAAAGTTAGGCCGGTGCCACCATCGAAACAGCGACTGGGTATGTTTCCGGGGTTACGTTGGTGTCCCAATAGTATAGGCTACTTGCAGGTGAATGTTGACCGTAACATGTGTACGGAGGTGCCTTCCTAGTTACGACTACACGGTAGATTTTAGGATTCTGTGCTCAAACCAACTTTCTTGTAACTCGCTTAATTCATGTCAAATGATCAAAAGTGAATGGAAACATTGAAACCTATATTTTCCTTTAAGTCTCTTTAAAAGCTTTCCAAGTCATTGCAAAACAATATTTGTTTATTTATTTGTATCCAGAACAAAAAAAAAATGGCTTGAGAACAAAATCCAAGCTGGAGCATGAGAACGGTGTCATAAATACGGGCCCAGGCGTAACGTCCCTGTCCCAATAGTAAAAGCTACTGGGTATATTTTAGGAGGTAAGCTCGTGTTTCATTAGTTATGTCGACTTGGTAATTTAAATGGCTACTATGCATATTTTCTATTCTCTATTATGGTTTAAGGTAGAATTAGGAGCTAGGGACTGTCTCCGTTACGCCTTCTTAGTAGGCTGTAAGAGATTCGGTAAGGCTATGATTTGTTGTGTGTGATGACGAGAGAGCAGGCGTACGCTGTAACCTCTGCTCCACGATAAATCACGGCAATCCGCGGATACCATCCAGGAAACACGGCCAGCAGTCGCTCCGGACCGCCACCGAAGGGACAGGTCCGCGCTGAATGGTAAAAACACAGAGCCAGGGGTTAATACGCTCTGCACAGATGGTGAAGGGTGGGTAGCTGCTTGATCAGAACGACTGCTGTGCAATATGACTGCCCTATCACCGGCACTAGCTGGTCAGGTAGGGTCAAGTGTGACTGAAGCTGAGTGTTTTGTGATATCGTCTCGGAGTTTCAGTGTAAATAGTTCAATACACAACCGGAAGAGCTGTTAAACACAAGTGAAGGATTAAGTGACACAAAACATGTCTGATTTTGAAAGCATTTTGTTTAATGGTGACGTGAATATGGGATTTAAAACTGTTTCGATATGCTCCATTGGACTCCTACCCATCACATTGACACCGACGGTAAGACAATAGGACCAGCATCATCTAGATTTAGCTCTAATGCATTGCAGCATGGTTAGTGACTGGTATTCAAATTAAATATTTTTTGAACTAAATGCACTTTTATGGAAACAAGATATCCTGTACAGAAAGCATGAACGGTGCGCAATATGTTCGTTTTTTGTGTTTTGATTAAAGAAAAAGTAAACGGAGTCAGAGCCGTTCTGTGTGAGCCGGCTTAGAGTACTGTATACAACACTATTTGGTCACATGGTGCGCGTTTCGGATACTGTCGCATTGGAAACAGTACTCTAACCGCGCGTCGCTTGTGTCGTTGAGAAGTTATTTAGCGCCGAATTTTGTCATTGACGGGTAAGCTATTATTAAGATGAGGAATTGGGTATTAAAGTTACATGGGCTAATAGAGCAGACTCTCGTTGCTGTCATTGTGTATTTATACCGGCTCATCAACATCAGCTCGAACACAAGCTGTAGGCCTTCAGGCTTTGGTTTTATATTGGGTCTGATTATACACGAGGCATTTATCCCATTGTTTATATCATAGTGTATTAATGGACTAATTTTGAAATAACGGATGTATCGCCATATTCGAAGGCAAATATTACACAGCGTAAATTTTATGTTACACCCTTTGGAATATACCGAAACAATGACTGTGTGACGTTAGTTGTTGTGACGTGCGTCTGTTTACCTTAAGTATGGAGCATACAGAACGTTTCCGGTACAGGACGGTGCCTGGATACTCCAAACACATTGACCGTTTTTTGTCATGCTAGGTTCTATCTACCAGAAAACTGCATTTAAACTCTTTGTATACTAGAACGTGTTGTGTATCGGACAAGTTCAATCTATAGGCATTCGTTTGTAAAGGTAAATACAACCTCTTGTCAACCATGCCTTTATTCCCGACGTCTAAATGGGAATCAATTTCTTCTGAGGATGAGGAGTCGAAACATTTGTCCTGGACACAACGGATTAAAAAAGGACCGACAAAGAAACGGAAAAAGAAAGAAAAATCCAAAAGGGACAAACCACGTGAGGATAATGATGAACAAACAAAACTAAAGAACGAATCAAAGGATCCTTTAAAGACGCAAAGGAATAGATTAGCGTCAATCATTAAATTTAAGGAGAAGGATGTTTTTGAGTCGGAGAAGATGAAGCTGATAGACGGTCGTCCCCGTCCTCAGCTTAGAACTTCTCCACAGAAGGTTTGGGAGAGTAAGACGCCATTTGTCTTTACACACGGAACATTCCCGCCCATAGCGGAAGCTGAAGAGACTAGTCTTGTTGGAGACCAAGTCCGACACGTCCATCGTAAAGGTAAGTCGTCCCGGGGTAAGCTACGGGGTTATTGTCGTTATTGATATAGACCACTGGTTAATGGTATGGTATGGTGATATCGCCTAATGCATGTCAACACAACAACGTCACCGAAACGCACGGTAGTAAGCGGTACATGTAACGAGAGAAACACACGGTAGTAAGCGGTACATGTAACGAGAGAAACACACGGTAGTAAGCGGTATATGTAACGAGAGACACACACAGTAGTAAGCGGTACAGGTAACGAGAGAGACACACGGTAGTAAGCGGTACATGTAACGAGAGAAACACACGGTAGTAAACCGTATATGTAACGAGAGAGACACACAGTAGTAAGAGGTACATGTAACGAGAGAAACACACGGTAGTAAGCGGTATATGTAACGAGAGAAAAACACAGTAGTAAGCGGTACATGTAACGAGAGAAACACATGGTAGTAAGCGGTACATGTAACGAGAGAAACACACGATAGTAAGCCGTATATGTAACGAGAGACACACACGGTAGTAAGCGGTATATGTAACGAGAGAAAAACACAGTAGTAAGAGGTACATGTAACGAGAGAAACACACGATAGTAAGCTGTATATGTAACGAGAGACACACACGGTAGTAAGCGGGACATGTAACGAGAGACACACAAGGTAGTAAACCGTATATGTAACGAGTGAAGCACACGGTAGTAAGTGGTACATGTAACGAGAGAAAGGTATATGTAACGAGAGACACACACAGTAGTAAGCGGTACAGGTAACGAGAGAGACACACGGTAGTAAGCGGTACATGTAACGAGAGACAAGAGACACACACAGTAGTAAGTGGTACATGTAACGAGAGAAACACACGGTAGTAAACCGTATATGTAACGAGAGAGACACACAGTAGTAAGAGGTACATGTAACGAGAGAAACACATGGTAGCAAGCGGTACATGTAACGAGAGAAACACACGATAGTAAGCTGTATATGTAACGAGAGACACACACGGTAGTAAGCGGTATATGTAACGAGAGAAAAACACAGTAGTAAGAGGTACATGTAACGAGAGAAACACATGGTAGCAAGCGGTACATGTAACGAGAGAAACACACGATAGTAAGCCGTATATGTAACGAGAGCCACACACGGTAGTAAGCGGTATATGTAACGAGAGAAAAACACAGTAGTAAGCGGTAAATGTAACGAGAGAAACACATGGTAGTAAGCGGTATATGTAACGAGAGAAACACACAGTAGTAAGTGGTACATGTAACGAGAGACCCACACGGTAGTAAACCGTATATGTAACCAGAGACACACACAGTAGTAAGCGGTACATGTAACGAGAGACACACAAGGTAGTAAACCGTATATGTAACGAGTGAAGCACACGGTAGTAAGTGGTACATGTAACGAGAGAGACACACGGTAGTAAGCGGTACATGTAACGAGTAAAACACACGGTAGTAAGCGGTACATGTAACGAGTAAAACACACGGTAGTAAGCGGTACATGTAACGAGAAAAACACACGGTAGTAAGCGGTACATGTAACGAGTAAAACACACGGTAGTAAGCGGTACATGTAACGAGTAAAACACACGGTAGTAAGCGGTACATGTAACGAGTAAAACACACGGTAGTAAGCGGTACATGTAACGAGTAAAACACACGGTAGTAAGCGGTACATGTAACGAGAAAAACACACGGTAGTAAGCGGTACATGTAACGAGTAAAACACACGGTAGTAAGCGGTACATGTAACGAGAGAAACGCACGGTAGTAAGGGGTACATGTAACGAGAGACACACACGGTCGTAAGCGGAACATGTAACGAGAGACACACACGGTAGTAAGCTGTACAACGAGAGAAACACACGGTAGTAAGCAGTACATGTAACGAGAGACACACACAGTAGTAAGCGGTACATGTAACGAGAGACACACACGGTAGTAAACCGTATATGTAACCAGAGACACACACGGTAGTAAGCGGTACATGTTACGAGAGAAACACACGGTAGTAAGTGGTACATGTAACGAGAGACACACACGGTCGTAAGCGGTACATGTAACGAGAGAAACACACGGTAGTAAGCGGTACATGTAACGAGAGAAACACACGGTAGTAAGCGGTACATGTAACGAGAGACACACACGGTAGTAAGCGGTACATGTAACGAGAGACACACACGGTAGTAAGCGGTACATGTAACGAGAGACACACACGGTAGTAAGCGGTACATGTAACGAGAGACACACACGGTAGTAAGCGGTACATGTAACGAGAGACACACACGGTAGTAAGCGGTACATGTAACGAGAGACACACACGGTAGTAAGCGGTACATGTAACGAGAGACACACACGGTAGTAAGCGGTACATGTAACGAGAGACACACACGGTAGTAAGCGGTACATGTAACGAGAGACACACACGGTAGTAAGCGGTACATGTAACGAGAGACACACACGGTAGTAAGCGGTACATGTAACGAGAGACACACACGGTAGTAAGCGGTACATGTAACGAGAGACACACACGGTAGTAAGCGGTACATGTAACGAGAGAAACACACGGTAGTAAGCGGTACATGTAACGAGAGAAACACACGGTAGTAAGTGGTACATGTAACGAGAGACACACACGGTAGTAAGCGGTACATGTAACGAGAGACACACAAGGTAGTAAATCGTATATGTAACGAGAGAAGCACACGGTAGTAAGTGGTACATGTAACGAGAGAAACACACGGTAGTAAGTGGTACATGTAACGAGAGAAACACACGGTAGTAAGTGGTACATGTAACGAGAGAAACACACGGTAGTAAGTGGTACATGTAACGAGAGACACACACGGTAGTAAACAGTATATGTAACCAGAGACACACACGGTAGTAAGCGGTACATGTTACGAGAGAAACACACGGTAGTAAGCGGTACATGTAACGAGAGAAACACACGGTAGTAAGTGGTACATGTAACGAGAGATACACACGGTAGTAAGTGGTACATGTAACGAGAGATACACACGGTAGTAAGTGGTACATGTAACGAGAGATACACACGGTAGTAAGTGGTACATGTAACGAGAGACACACCCGGTAGTAAGCGGTACATGTTACGAGAGAAACACACGGTAGTAAGCGGTACATGTAGCGAGAGACACACACGGTAGTAAGTGGTACATGTAACGAGAGACACACATGGTAGTAAGCCGTACATGAAACGAGAGACACACACGGTAGTAAGCAGTACAACGAGAGAAACACACGGTAGTAAGCGGTACATGTAGCGAGAGACACACACGGTAGTAAGTGGTACATGTAACGAGAGACACACACGGTAGTAAACCGTATATGTAACGAGAGAAAGACACGGTAGTAAGTGGTACATGTAACGAGAGAAACACACGGTAGTAAGTGGTACATGTAACGAGAGACACGCACGGTAGTAAACCGTATATGTAACGAGAGACACACACGGTAGTAAGCGGTACATGTAACACACACACGGTAGTAAGCGGTACAACGAGAGAAACACACGCTAGTAAGTGGTACATGTAACGAGAGAAACACACAGTAGTAAGTGGTACATGTAACGAGAGACACACACAGTAGTAAGTGGTACATGTAACGAGAGAAACACACGGTCGTAAGCGGTACATGTAACGAGAGAAACACACAGTAGTAAGTGGTACATGTAACGAGAGAAACACACGGTAGTAAGCGGTACATGTAACGAGAGACACACACAGTAGTAAGCAGTACATGTAACGAGAGAAACACACGGTAGTAAGCGGTACAACGAGAGAAACACACGGTAGTAAGCGGTATATGTAACGAGAGAAACACACGGTAGTAAGTGGTACATGTAACGAGAGACACACACGGTAGTTAACCGTATATGTAACCAGAGACACACACGGTAGTAAGCGGTACATGTAACGAGAGAAACACACAGTCGTAAGCGGTACATGTAAAGAGAGACACACACAGTAGTAAGCGGTACATGTAACGAGAGACACACACAGTAGTAAGCGGTACATGTAACGAGAGAAACACACGGTAGTAAGTGGTACATGTAACGAGAGACACACACGGTAGTTATCCGTATATGTAACCAGAGACACACACGGTAGTAAGCGGTACATCTAACGAGAGAAACACACAGTAGTAAGTGGTACATGTAACGAGAGACACACACGTTAGTTAACCGTATATGTAACCAGAGACACACACGGTTGTAAGCGGTACATGTAACGAGAGAAACACACAGTAGTGAGCGGTACATGTAAAGAGAGACACACACAGTAGTAAGCGGTACATGTAACGAGAGACACACACAGTAGTAAGTGGTACATGTAACGAGAGAAACACACGGTAGTAAGGGGTACATGTAACGAGAGACACACACGGTAGTAAGCGGGACATGTAACGAGAGACACACACGGTAGTAAGCGGTATATGTAACGAGAGACACACACGGTAGTAAGCGGTACATGTAACGAGAGACACACACGGTAGTAAGTGGTACAACGAGAGAAACACACGGTAGTAAGCGGTATATGTAACGAGAGACACACACGGTAGTAAGCGGTACATGTAACGAGAGACACCAGGCAGTTTCAATTTTGTACAAGGGTAAAAAGGACCCGATTTATATCTGTAGTGTTGGTGAAGAATATCTATATTGTTTTATTCAATGTTCCCTAAGCAGAAGACAGCTTTTTATCAGCAGGACCCTAACCTCATTGTCACAGGGCCACGATAATTACTTACAATATGCTAGGTTGGAACTCTCCTGATATGTAGGGAGTATATCAGGTCCCTGTGGTAATCGCCTGGTGCTATATATAGCCAGGACACAGCTGGTACATTACTCCGAACCTGTCAATGAAAAACCATCAACCTGTAACCACCTGTTTGATAATTATTCCAAATACAGGCTGTTTGTCACTTTAGGAGATAGAGTTCGCTGAGTAAAAATATATTTCACCTCTCCGTCTAGGCGGTTGTT